TGCACCAACGCCCACTGGATGGGTGTGGGATGCACCACCGCCCACTGGATGGCTGTGGGATGCACCAACGCCCACTGGATGGGTGTGGGATGCACCAACGCCCACTGGATGGGTGTAGGATGCACCACCGCCCACTGGATGGGTGTGGGATGCACCACCGCCCACTGGGTGGGTTTGGGATGCACCTCCGCCCACTGGATGGGTGTAGGATGCACCACCGCCCACTGGGTGGGTTTGGGATGCACCTCCGCCCACTGGATGGCTGTGGGATGCACCACCGCCCACTGGGTGGGTTTGGGATGCACCTCCGCCCACTGGATGGGTGTAGGATGCACCACCGCCCACTGGTTGGCTGTGGGATGTCCACCGCCCACTGGATGGGTGTGGGTGCTTAAGCAAATTAATATTATTTACATGAGTTTACCATTTCCTTAATGGCTTCGACGCGGACAGAAAGCCGGCTTCTTATCTTAGGTCCCCCCATTGTCCCTGAGGATTTTTTCAAGGTGGATTGTTAATTGCAATAATGTCTTGACATTTACGACTTCGGCGGGTAGGTTGTTCCCTGGGTTTATAACCCTATGGGTGAAATAGCATCAGTTCTACAGTGTGGCGTGTTCAGTTTGAAGCTGTTGTACCCTTGTATGTTACATTTGACCTTTTAAAGAAGTTGTCTGGATTAGTATCTAACTAATTCATGGTTTTAAAGGTTTCGGTGAGATGAGTTGTCAAGTCCTGTGTCCCTTAATCGTTCCTGGTGTGAGAGTTCACATCGGTTTGGAATGATTTTTCTACCTTTGTGTTAAATCTTTTCAAAGCAGATACTGTTGGTACTTTTGAAGGCGAGGTGTCCATGCTGTATACAACCTGTCCTCTTATAAATTATGTATGAATTTGGCCGTATGGCCGAAAATGGACGTAATTATAAAACGAAAAAAATATAAATTAAATTTTGCATTCTTTTCTACAACAGCAAGTTAAGGTTCCTCTTGTAGGTTAGGAGGGCAGGAAATTCTCCCAAGGCTTCAAAACGTCATGAAAACCTCTCCTAACCTAACCGAGTAAGCCGAAGGACCTAAACAGAAAACCGAACATTACATTACTTTCGAGAGCCGATTTCATTTCAAATTACGTCCAATTTTGGCCATAGGGCGCATAGGAATATAAAAAAAACGCTTGGATTCGAATGCAACGTTGTGTCAAAATTTCAAAGCAATCGGTGATTAGCGATTTTGAACACATGAACATTTACATATATATATATATATATATTATATATATATATATATATATATATATATATATATATATATATATATATATATATATATATATATATATATATATATATATATATATATATATATATATATATATATATATATAACATAGGCTGACACCTATGTACACTTCGGAGCTGATCAAGCAGGTGGGGCGGCCAACCACAGGGAAACAGCAAATCACTCAAGTACAGGCGACTGGAAGGTCAATACCTCTTTGTTCCCATAGCGTTTGAGACGCATGGCCCCTGGGGCAAGAGTGCCTTGGGATTTCTCAAGGAATTGGGTTCCAAGCTCATTGACGTCACCAGAGCCCCAAGGGCTTCCAGTTTTTTGTTTCAGCGCCTCAGTGTGGCGATCCAGAGGGGAAATGCTTGCTGCGGTCCTCGGTTCCTGTCCGGAAGCGGAGGAGCTTCAAGAGATCCATAACCTTTAGGCATTTGTCTTGTATGTTATGTAACCTTTAAATACACAATAAAGCAAAAAAAAAAAAAGAAAAGGAAGGGGGGTGGTAGGAGAAAAGCACACAGAAACTGTATTGGAGGGGATCTAAACATTCCCTCTAATGCGTTATGCGTGGTTTCCTCCGAGGCTATGGGTCCCCCTTCTTCCAGCCAGAGGTGGTTATCTTGAGATGATTTCGGGGCTTTAGTGTCCCCGCGGCCCGGTCCTCGACCAGGCCTCCACCCCCAGGAAGCAGCTCGTGACAGCTGACTAACACCCAGGTACATATTTTACTGCTAGATAACAGGGGCATAGGGTGAAAGAAACTCTGCCCATTGTTTTTTCTTTTGGCGCCCGGGATCGAACCCGGGACCACAGGATCACAAGTCCAGCGTGCTGTCCGCTCGGCCGACCGGCTCCCGTCGACTCCCTTCTCTATTAAAAAATATATATATATATATATATATATATATATATATATATATATATATATATATATATATATATATATATATATATATATATATATATACTAGCAGTACTCGGCCACGCGTTGCTGTGGCTCATTGCAGGTGCGTTGAGTCACAGCAACCTTCCCTGTCCCCCAGTCCTCCCCACCATCCCCTCTTCCTTCCCACCATGCCCCCACTCCCCTGTCCCTTTTTCCTCCCCACCATTCCCCACTCCACCATCCCCTCTTCCTTCCCACCATGCCCCCACTCCCCTGTCCCTTTGTCCTCCCCACCATTCTCCATTTCCCCCATCCCCTCGTTCTTCCCCACCATTACCCCCTCCCTTGTTCCCTCGTCCTCCCCACACTCTCTCACTTCCGTCCCCTCGTCCTCCCCTCCATTCCCCACTCCCTCGTCCGTTGCCTTCCCAAATGGTCTCATGTTCCCATCAGAAAATTGGGGCCATCAAATGATCTGATGTTCCCATCACTGATATATAAGAAAAACAATTAAAAAATGAAATGAAAATATGAAAAAATTTAAAAATAAACTATACTCACGAAATGAACAGTATGGTAAACAACACAGCTCAATTCCAACCCAATGCCACACAAAATAATTCAATAAAAAATAAAATAAATCGAAATCTATGGAAATAAAATTTATCAATGCAATCGGAAACATTGAAATGGAATTCGTGACATATTTAGTATAGCGTGAATGTTGATATTATGTGCAACAGATGGCGCTGTTTTTCAAAAACGCATATTTTTACCTGTCACAGGTGAGGCATGTATACAGTAGCTATATAAAAAGATGCGCCTATTCAAATGCAACATTGTGTGAAAATTTCAAAGCAATCGGTGAAGAACTTTCGGAGATTAGCGATTTTGAACAAACGAACATTTCCATTTATATATATATATATATATATATATATATATATATATATATATATATATATATATATATATATATATATATATATATATATATATGTCGTACCTAGTAGCCAGAACGCACTTATCGGCCTACTATGCAAGGCCCGATTTGCCTAATAAGCCAAGTTTTCCTGAATTAATATATTTTCTCTAGTTTTTTTCTTATGGAATGATAAAGAAACCCATTTCATTATGTATGAGGTCAATTTTTTTGTATTGGACTTAAAATTAACGTAGATATATGACCGAACCTAACCAACCCTACCTAACCTAACCTAACCTATCTTTAAAGGTTAGGTTAGGTTAGGTAGCGGAAAAAGTTATATATATATATATATATATATATATATATATATATATATATATATATATATATATATATATATATATATATATATATATATATATATATATATATATATATATATACATCAAATGCATAATAAAGCACAAAAAATAAAAAAGGAAGGGGGTGGTAGGAGAAAAGCACACAGAAACTGTATTGGAGGGGATCTAAACATTCCCTCTAATGCGTTATGCGTGGTTTCCTCCGAGGCTATGGGTCCCCCTTCTTCCAGCTAGAGGTGGTACTCCCTTCCTGTTATTGAAAAAAAAAAAAAAAAATATATATATATATATATATATATATATATATATATATATATATATATATATATATATATATATATATATATATATATATACATAATACCAATACACACATAATCCACCACCTCTCACAGGATGGGTATGGGGTTCACCACCTCTCACAGGATGGGTATAGGGTTCATCACGACTCACAGGATGGGTATGGGGTTCACCACGACTCGCATGATGGGTATAGGGTTCATCACGACTCACAGGATGGGTATGGGGTTCACCACGACTCACAGGATGGATATGGGGTTCACCACCACCCACATGATGGGTATGGGGTTCACCACCACCCACATGATGGGTATGGGGTTCACCACCACTCACAGGATGGGTATGGGGTTCACCACCACTCACAGGATGGGTATGGGGTTCACCACCACCCACAGGATGGGTATGGGGTTCACCACCACTCACAGGATGGGTATGGGGTTCACCACCACCCACATGATGGGTATGGGGTTCACCACCACTCACAGGATGGGTATGGGGTTCACCACCACTCACAGGATGGGTATGGGGTTCACCACCACCCACAGGATGGGTATGGGGTTCACCACGACTCACAGGATGGGTATGGGGTTCACCACCACCCACATGATGGGTATGGGGTTCACCACCACTCACAGGATGGGTATGGGGTTCACCACCACTCACAGGATGGGTATGGGGTTCACCACCACCCACAGGATGGGTATGGGGTTCACCACCACTCACAGGATGGGTATGGGGTTCACCACCACCCACAGGAGGATGGGTATGGGGGGTTCACCACCACTCACATGGGGGATGGGTATGGGGTTCACCACCACTCACAGGATGGGTATGGGGTTCACCACCACCCACATGATGGGTATGGGGTTCACCACCACTCACAGGATGGGTATGGGGTTCACCACCACCCACAGGATGGGTATGGGGTTCACCACCACCCACAGGATGGGTATGGGGTTCACCACCACTCACAGGATGGGTATGGGGTTCACCACCACTCACAGGATGGGTATGGGGTTCACCACCACTCACATGATGGGTATGGGGTTCACCACCACTCACAGGATGGGTATGGGGTTCACTACCGCTGACAGAAACATCTCAGGTAACCCGGCCCGCTTACACTACTCCCTCCCCTCCCCCACACATGAAACGTGAGCTTGTGATACGACAAATGTTGCTGCCAGTGGGCCAGCTGTGGTGTGACCAGCTGACGACGGGCATGGAGAGCTTACCTGGGCCGGAAGGTTGGTGTGCAGTCAGCCAGCATGGACCCTGACTATACCCCGACACCTAGCATGACTGGTGGAGGCGTCGTGCAAGGTGGGGCTCGGGGGATCCCTCGCTACTGCCGGTACAGTCTGCTTCACTACACACACTTTCCTCACTCTCACTCCACAGCAGCTGCTGTCGTCCGCTGCACTACGCTTCTCTCTTGGCTCAACACGTTTCTTAGTTCAAGAAGAGTCCATTCAGTTGCTGGTGATGTTGATCGAACTGCTTTGATTTTATTCCGAATGTGTCAATAAAGTGAATATGTTCATGAATATCACATAACTTGCAATAATTGTAATTGATTCATTTGAAAGTGATAAAGCAGTGAACAAGGAGATCTGATGCGTGAGTGCTGTAGTAATAAAGATGAGGGAGATCCAGTGAATGCGTACTAAACGAACAGATGCGAAAATGTATTATGTAAAGACGGAAGACCCGACGTATACGGCAACAGCTGGAAACATCACCTGGGTGAAAACGGCCCGAGATGTCTTAGTGAATAGCAACAGATTGTATTCGTATGAAAGACCCATACAATAGATCATACAATACAAGAGCACAGCATCAGATGAATTCCTCGTATGACGGTATCTCAACTTGATATATGAAGGTGATACAGATTAGAGGAGAGGTCCA